GCTCCTGCTCCTCCTGCTTCTCGACCTTACACTGGAGGCGCTCGATCTCCCTTCGCAGGTCGGAGATGACGTCCGTGTACTGCGCGATGTGGTAGGACACCTTCAGCAGGTTGCGCTTGACCTGGGGGCAGGACGCGGCCAAGGTCAGGGCCAGGCGGCTGCCCCGCGGAGGACCCCTTTCCCGTGAAGGGTTTACGCCAGAAACACGCAAGCACATTTTGTCACAAAAATTCACATCAGCACCACTCGGCCGTAAAAAGGAAAGAGACTCTGACACCTGTTACAGCGTGGCGGGACCTCGAGGACACGGTGCTCAGAGAAATAAACCAGACACAGAAGGACAGGCTCTGTGATTCCACTTCTACGAGGTCCCCGGAGAGCCAGGGTCCCAGAGACAGACAGCAGAGGGTGGGGGCCAGGGGCTGGCGGAGGGGGACAGGGTGTCAGGCTGGGAAGATGGAGAATTCTGGAGAAGGACTGTGGTGATGGTTGCACAAGGCGATATGCTCAATGCCACTGAACTGTCACATTTAAAATGGTTAAAGCGGTGGATTTTGTTATGTATATTTTGCCAGAAATTTTCAAACAACCCAGAAGTTTTTGAAAACCCGCCCCCTGGGGAACCACTGCTACCACGTTGGCGTGCATCCTCCTGGATTGCTTTCTGTGTCATTTTGAACGTACATACAAACGTACCCAGAGAGAGACCTCTGGGGAGTCTCTGGATGTAGGTTTGGCTCCAGACTTTGATGTAAATTATATTAGTGGAGCTGCTATGATTTTGACCATTTTTCTCTTCCAGCGATGTGTCTTAGAGGCCGTCTGTCCGCACGTTCTCTGTCTACCCTGTTCTCTGTCACAGCTGCAGAGCGGGCCTTGGGAGGGACACACTGAGGGCTTGTCCCGTCCCCTCCGTGGGCACTTTGGGGCTTTCCTGTGACACGACTTCCCTGAGCACGTGGGTCCGTGTTTCTCTGGGAGACTCAGAGGGGACCTGCTGCAGGGCACACGCACTCTGTGAGTTTTACTGGATGTGCTGGGTGGCCCCGTGTCTGCACGGACAGTCTTTATCCCTGGGGCCCCGCTCCCTTGCCGGGTCCCCCTCAGCGGAAGACCCCTCTCGATTCGGCCTCCTCTGCTCCTCTTCCTTGCAGTGGCCTGGGGGTCTCATTGAGAGCACTTGCCGCAACTGGAAACGATGCCTGTGTCTGTGTGAGTTCATGTGAGTCTGCCGCCCC